TCTTCTTAAACCAGTCCTTTAGCATATCTTGGACAGCTGGTTTGGTAGAGATATATTCTTTTAGTCTTCTCTTGTCTGGGAAACTCCGTATTTCCCCTTTTATTTTAATGGAGAGCCTAGTGGGTAGAGCAGCCTTGGTTGTAGGCCCTTCCTTTTCATGACTTGGAATATTTGTTGCCATGCCCTTCTGGTTTGTAGTGTTTCTGTTGAGCAGTTATCTCCTAGGCGTATCGGGGCACCCTTGTATGTTACTTTCTCCTTCTCCCTTGCTGCCTTGAGGATTCTCTTTGTCTTTGACATTTGCCATTTTAATGATGATGTGTCTTGAAGTGGACCTCTTTGAGTCCCTCTTGAGTGGGGTCCTCTTTGCCTCCTGGGTCCACGAGAACCTTTCTCTCCTCAAATTAGGGAATTTTCCATCACTACTTTTCAAGGAGGTTCTCTATCCCTTGCTCCTCTTCTCCTTCTGGTATCCCTAGCATACGGATATTATTGTGTTTCATGTTGTGTTGCATTTCCCTAAATGCCTCTTCATTCTTTTTGAGTCTTTTTTCCATTTCTTGTTCTTTCTGGGAGCTTTTTTCTACCTTATCCTACATGTTAGTGATTCGATCATTGGCTTCATCCAGCCTGCTTTGGATTCCTTCTACTGTGTTCTTCAATTCAGAAATGGTATTCTTCATATCCTCTTGAGTCTTCTTGATGGTTTCTATGTCCTTTTCCAGGCTGATATAGTTTGCTGTAAGATCCTGATAGTTTCTCTGCAGTTTCTCATAGTTATCTTTGAGGTTGCTGAGCTCATTGAGCTTCCTTAGAACCATTGTTTTGAATTCAGTATCTGATAGTTCCCTTGCCTCTATTTCATTTAGCTCTCTCTGTGGGGAGTCCCTTTTTCCACTCATTTCGTGGGAATTTCTTTTTCTTCCCTTTTTTGTGAGAGTCTTAAGTAATTTACTTATTTTTTTATTTATTTTGGCTTCTGCTTAAATTGGGCCATCTAGATTTCCTGACTTTGTGGACTAAACTTCTATGGTAGAAGGTGGGTTTTTATTTATTTATTTATTTATTTTTCCCTGTACTTTTCTTTCTGGGCCTGCCTCTGATGATTTCAGTTGTTGACCGTATATACCTTGGGTTGTTTGTTTGAGCCTTCCAGGAGTCTACTGTCTGTGTCTGACTACTGCTTGGGGCAGTGTGTCACCCCTTAGGTCGGGGCTGGAGTATATTTTGGGATCACTCTGCACTCTCACGCTGGCTCCTTGATCGCGCTCCCCAGCCAGGCAGGATACCCGGCCCTCCTGGGCTCTCGTGTGCTTGCCCCAGTCAGGGGGCTTATTTGCGACCTCGCGTACTCATCTGGCCCCCTGGCCAGCGAGCTCCTTGGCACTGGTCAGTTTAATATCTTCTATTGTGTGTTTTCCCCTCTTTTGGCTCTTTGGGTGTTTTGCTTGCCCTCGCCAAATGGGGTCTACAGAAATGGGAGGAAGTCAGCTCCAGGACTCTCCGGCTAATCCCGTCTCTGGTCTCTTCTCCAGGGACTCTGGGCAGCTCTGTGACCCATTCACCCGGGATCTACTATTTTTGTGAGTCGCTCCGCAATCACGGGCCTGGCAGGTCAACTTATGCCGGCTCTTGCCGCTCTGTGCACTCCCTAGCAGGCCATATCAGTGCCAATCGGTGGGAGGCCTTGCCGGCCGGTGCAAGCATTCACCAGCCCGCACAGTCACACACACGCTCGCCAACCCTTGCCAGTCACTCGGCGCAAGTGTGCGCTCCTCCACTAGATGGTTTTGGGGAGTCTACGTGTGCTTTTCGGCTTTTGGCTCTTTGAGGCTGTGGCCTCTTCCCACACAATGGAGACTACAGCAAGGAGAAGGAGCCTGGACTCCCCGGTTCCTCCTCCCGTAGTTTTCCCAACGCCTCTGTTTCTAGTCTCTCCTCAGGGGTCTCTGGGCAGTTCTGTGACCCCTTCGGCCAAGGATCCACCCCCTGTGCAGACTGCGTTTCAATCACAGGCAGTCTGGTTCATGTGCGCCCCGCTTCTGCCTCTATGGGGTCGTGCCTTTCCAGCCCACAATGGAGACTACAGAACGGGGAGGGAGTCAGGACTCCCCAGTTCCTCCTCCTGTTCTTTCCCCAACGCTTTCGTCTCCAGTCTCTCCTCAAGGCTCTCCCATCCAGTCTGCACTTAGCCCCCCAACTTACGCGCGCAGAAGCTGTGTGCAGAGCACACAAAAGGCAGGTTAACTGATTCCCTTACGCCTGAGCGAGATGGTAGCTGCAGAGTGGGAGGTGCGTTATCACCGGGGCTCCACCGGCCGCCGTGTCAGTTCTCTTCACAAAGTTTTCCTCCCCAGTCTTCTCCCAGGCATCAGCCCACCCAGCTGCCGCCTCTACCCAGAAATCAAGGAGGGTGGCTGCCACTGCAATTTTTGCATTGGCCCTTTAAATGTCTCTTTGTATCCCCAGCCACCTGTCTCTGGCAGAGAGCTCCCCTAAGCTTTTCAGGGCTGCATTTTGTCTGTATTTTCTTGGTTTTAGCTGCTGTAGTTTAGGGGTTCCTGTTTATGATTCAGACCCCGTTCTTCTCGGGGGGAGCTAACTGGCCGTTTCAATGTCCCTCTGGTGCTAGTGCCCGTGGGCACCCAGCCCACCCTCTCAAGCCTCCACCACACTTCTCACCCGGTGGGGTGTGTGAGAGTCAAATCCACTGTCCGTGGCTCCAACGCTCCTCTCCCACTATCGTTCCATTGTTTTCCAGGTGATTACTCCACTATTTAGTCGCAATTCCAGTTGGTCTTGGGAGGAGGTCAGCGTGACTCCCATTCACTCCTCCACCGTCTTCCTAATACCCATTCTTTATATATATTATGTTGGGAAAGGTTTTCTAAGCTAATGGGTTTTTACGTGAAACTTCTGAATTACATTCAGAATGTTGGTTACTTGATGTTTCCTGGCCTGACTTCCACCAACTTTCATTTAACCTGTTTGCTTACACTTCTGCAGTGGCTGTAATATAAACTAGCATAATAATCTCTCTCCTGTGTCTTGCAGAACAGATAACTAAATCATCTTGCTATTACCTGATCGGTGGTCGCCAGGTTTAAATGCTACAGATAAACCATCTTCTTTAAGGCTAATGTGCCCCACTTTTTGTTGGACTATGGCACTTCTATCTACCACAGTACTACATTAAAAAAGAGCCCATGAACAGCAGAGCTCTGCAGTTTACTGAAGTGAGCATGCCCCCTCCTTAGAAATACTGCCTCTCAGACTTGGCACTGTAATGAGCTAAATTATTTATCCAGCCAGATAAGAGAGAAAGTAGCTAAAAGCTTCCTGAGTTTATAACCTCAGCCCCTAGATTCACAAAGGAACCAGGCCATGTTTCTTCAGCAAAGAGAAAAAAAATACCTCCCTCCAAAGTCTTCTTCCATCACCTCTTATGCCTGGCATAAGTCTCAATCATGGTTAAAATAAGTTGTTTCCATCAGTCTTGGATTCATTGAGTACTGTGTGTCAGGCACTGTGAAATAAATTTAAAATATGTTAAAAGTGGCCTTTGCCCTGAATGAGTTTACAGTACATCCATTTGGACAAATTCAGAAAGCATAGGAAAAGTTAAATTTCTCATTCATTCATTCCAGACATACAAGTCAGGTACTTTACTAGTTACTGAGGATGCAGTACTGAAGACTGAAAAACAGGTGATGGTGCAAATACCATCTGACTAGTGCAATGATGGGCAAAAGGTGTTAAATAATAGTGATGTTCAGTAAATGCCGTGAGATCAGAGTTCTTAGTTTTGAATTTGACATTTCTATAAACAATATAGCCAAACACCAATCAATACTCCACAAATGTGATGCCTCCTCTAGGACCCTCTCTACAGGAAAGAGAGTTGGTTTAGCCTGAGACCAGCACTTTAAAAGCTTTTTGACTGGTGCAGGTCAGGGTTATCAGATTAGGAATGCATGAAATCAGGTTACCGATGAGAGGAGTGTCTGCAAGTACAGGAGTGCCCCTCCTTCCATTGAATTCACCCCAGTCTCAGGAGCCATATTTCAGGTCAGGAAATATGGCCCTGGCATTTAAGAATGTTCATTGTGGGACTTTGGGGGAGAGAACAAAAAAGATCGCCTAAAAACATTGTGTTTATTATTACAGTCAATTGGAAGTTCTTACACAATTACTTTTCTTGTGGAGGGTTGTACTTAAAGTCATAATATGTAAATAACATTTCTGTTAGTTCTTACAGTCTCTGGATTTCTAATTTGTATCTCTTTTAAGGTACTTGTCTTGATCTCCTTCATTTATTTGCATACATGGCTCTTTCTATCCCTTAACTTCCTGATGGCCAGAAATATGTCTTATTCATCTTTTTAAAATCTTTTTATCACTTAGCACATTACCTTGCATATATTAGGCAATCTGTGGCTATATGTTGAATTAACTGTAGCATCCAAAAGTGGAAGATGTACTGGGCATTTAGATTTGAGGGCCTTCCTTTGACCCTCAAACCTTAAATTTACCAAAGAATTGTCCTTTCCTAATGGGGAATATTTATGCAACTTAAGAAAAGAGGAAAAGACAGCCTTGCAATGATGAGGAATGGAAAAGACACATCTCTAGCCAGCAAGATCAGTGAAATCACTGCTAATTATTAACAAGAAGACAGATGTTAAAGTCAAATTACCCTCACATTAAAACCTGGAGTTCTTATTCAAAGAGGGTGCTCATTGTGTCAACCAATGTTGGATATTGTATAGAGTATAAAGCCTGCAATGGAATCAGCATCATGAAAAAAAAAACCAAACAGATGGAACACTGTGACTAGAAATGACATTAAATTTGGTCTTGAAGTACCTAGTAGACATGGCTATGGCTTAGAAATAGCACCAGGCAACAAAGAGAAAGGGCAAAGGCCTAGAAACCTCTGATACAAACCATAGCAGTAAGGAAGCTACCTACAATGAAGTGTCTGTTCTTATTCTCTATAGGTGGAATTGGCTGCATAGGTCAAGACAAGGGCCAGATTAGAAAGTGCCTGGAAGTGGTGGAGATCTATAACCCTGATGGGGACTTTTGGAGAGAGGGCCCACCTATGCCAAGTTCACTGCTCTCCCTTCGAACCAATTCTACAAATGCAGGAGCAGTGGATGGGAAGCTCTATGTCTGTGGAGGATTCCATGGAACAGGTATTTATCTATTTAAAAATGTTTTATAACTTCCTTTGGTATTGATTTGACTTCCCTTAACTGGCCCAGTACCAAAGAATAAATTTGAGAACAGTATGAGGACTGGCAAAAGCATGGATTTTAGTGTTCAGTGACAAGCAACTCACCAAATCTTTGAACTTGAGTTATCACATCTGCAAAATGGAGCTACTACTTCCAAAGGATACCATAAAAATAAAATGAGATCTAGTTTATAATGTGAATATGAAGAGAAATGGGTGAGGGAAGGCTAATGCCTGATTGTAAGACTGAATAAGAAATATTTTTTATTTTTTAATTATGGTAGACATTCAATATTATTTTATATTAGTTTCAAATGTACAACATAGTGGTTAGGCATTCATATAATTTATGACGTAATCTCCCAATAAATCTAATACCTACCTGGAACCATACATGATTATTACAATATTATTGGCTGTAATTCTTGTGCTGTACTTTTCATCCTTGTGACTATTTTGTAACTACCAATTTTTACTTGTTAGTCCCTTCACATTTTTCACCCAACTCCTCCAATGCCCTGGCAACCCTCAATTTGTTCTTTGAATCTATTAGTCTGTATTTGTTTTGTTTGTTCATTTTTGTTCTTTAGATTCTGCATATAAGTGAAATCATATGGGTCATGCCTTTCTTAGTCTGACATTTCACTTCGCATAACACCCTATAGGTCCATCTATTTTGTTGCAAATGTTAAGATTACATTCATATATTTATTATGGCCAGTCCATTTATGTACCACTTCTTCTTTATCTATTCATCTATTGATGGGCACTTTATTACTGTTGTAAATAATGCATTAAATATAGGGGTGTACATACTTTTTCTAATTAATATTTTGTATTTCTTTGGATAAATACCCAGAAGTGGAATTGCTGTATCATATGGTACTATTTGTCATTTTTTGAGGAAACTCCATACTGTTTTCCATTGTGGCTACACCAATTTGCAATCCCACCAACAATGCATAAGGGTTCTCTTTTCTCCATATCTTTGTCACACTTATTATTTGTTGGTTAATTGATCTTAGTCATTCTGACAAGTGTAAGGTTATATCTAATTGTGGTTTTAATTTTCATTTTGCTGATAATTAGTGAACTTGAGCATTTTTTCATAAGTCTATTGGCTATCTGTATACTTGCTTTGGAAAAATGTCTATTCAGGTCCTCTGACCACTTTCTAATTGGATTGTTTGCATTGGCTGGGGTTAAATTGTATGACTTAATAAATTTTGGATATTGCCCCCTTATCAGATGTATCATTGGCAAATATCTTGTCCCATTCAATAAGTTCTCCTTTTGTTTGATTAATGGCTTCCTTTCCTGTGCAAAAATTCTTTAGTTCAATGTAGTCCCATTTGTTTGTTTTTTGTCTTTTATTTCCTTTCCCAAGGAGACATATACACAAAAATATTGCTAAGAGCAATATCAATGAGTTTACTACCTATGTTTTCTTTTAGAAGTTTTATGGTTTCAAGTTTTACATTGAAGTCATTAATCCATTTTGAGTTTATTTTTGGTATTCTATAAAAAGGAGTCTAGTTTAATTTTTATGTATCTGTCCAATTTTCCCAAATCATTTATTGAATAAACTGTCTTTACCGCATTATATTTTTGTCATATATTAACCTAACATATAGATGTGGGTTTATTTCTGGGCTCTCTATTCTATTTCATTGATCTATGTGACTGAGTTCTTTTTGTTTGTTTGTTTGATTTTGTTTTCCTGTTTTGTTTCATTATTTTTTATTTTTTTATTGTTCAGATACATTTGTCTCCATTTTCCCGCGACCCCACCTACCCCCTCCTCCTCCCACTCTCAATCCTTCCCCACTTTTGCTTTGTCCCTGGGTCCTTTATACATATTCTCTGATATGACCATTTCCCTTCTTTCCCCTACCCCCCTTCCTTCCCTGTCATTACTGTTGGTTTATTTTTTCTTTCAGTGTTGTTGGTTATATTTTTCTTGCTTGTTCATTTTGTTGGTTAGGTTCCACTTACAGGTGAGATCATATGGTATTTGTCCTTCACTCGCTGGCTTATTTTGCTTAGCATAAAGCTCTCCAGTCCCATCCATGCTGTCATGAAGGGTAGTAGCTCTTTCTTTCATTCTGCTGCATAGTATTCCATTGTGTAAATTTACCACAGTTTTTTGATCCACTCATTTATTGATGAGCACTTAGGTTGCTTACAGCACTTCACTATTGTAAATTGTGCTGCTATGAACACTAGGGTGCATAGGTTATTTTGAGTTGGTGTTCTTGGGTTCTTAGGGTATAATCCCAGCAGTGGAATCACTGGGTCAAAAGGCAGTTCCATTTTTAGCTTTTTGAGGACATTCCAAACTGTTTTCCAAAGTGGATGAAGCAGTATGCTGTGCCACCAAAGAAGTAAAAGACATCCAAATTGGAAAGGAGGAAGTAAAACTGTCATTGTTGTCAATGTCCATAAATTGAAGGCATTTTTGTACACCAACAATGAAATAGAAGAAGCAGAAATCAGAAAAAAAATACCATTTGCTATAGCAACAAGAAAAATAAAGTACCTAGGAATAAACTTAACGACGGAGGTAAAAGACCTGTACTCAGAAAACTACACGACTATGAAGAAAGAAATTGAGGAAGGCACAAATCAATGGAAGCATATACCGTGTTCATGTATTGGAAGAATTAACATTATCAAAATGTCCATACTACCCAAAGCAATTTATAGATTCAATGCAATCCCTATTAAAATACCAATGATGTATTTCACAGATATCGAACAAAGATTTCAAAAACTTGTATAGACTCATAAATGACCCTGAATAGCTGCAGCAATTTTTAGAAAAAAGAACAAAGTAGGAGGGATCACATTGCTTGACATCAAACTACATTATAAGGCCACTGTAACCAAAGCAGTCTGGTACTGGCATAAGACTGACACATAGATCAATGAAACAGAACAGAGACCCCAGAAATAAACCCATGTCTCTATGGTCAACTAATATTCAACAGAGAGGTGAGAAGCTTAAAATGAAGTAAAAATAGCCTCTTCAGCAAATGGTGTTAGGAGAGCTGGACAGCTACATGCAAAAAATTGAAATTTGACCACCAACTTACACTATAAACAAAAATAAACTCAAGATGGATAAAAGGGAGGAGAAAAAGATGGCGGAGGAGTGAAAGGGAGTCACGCTGACCTCCTCCCAAAACCAAACTGGAATTGCAACTAAATAATGGAGTAATCACCTGGAAAGCAGTGGAGCGATAGTGGGAGAGGAGCCTTGGTGCCGCGGACAGTGGATTCGACTCTCACACATCCCAACGGGTGAGATTGCAGTGGAGGCTCGAGAGGGTGGACTGGGTGTGCACGGGTACTGGCACCAGAGGGACATGGAAACAGCCAGTTAGCGTCCCCCCGAGAAGAACGGGGTCTGAATCATAAACAGGAACCCCTAAACTACAGCAGCTAAAGCTGAGAAAATACAGACAAAATGCAACCCCAAAAAGCTTAGGGGCGCTCTCTGCCAGAGACAGGTGGCTGGGGATGCAAAAAGACATTTAAAGGGCAAACGCAAAAGTTGCAGCGGCAGCCACCCTCCTTGATCGCTGGGTACAGGCAGCAGCAGGGTGGGCTGGTGCCTGGGAAAGGACTGGTGAGGAAAACTTTGTGAAGAGAACTGACACTGCGGCCAGTGGAGCCCGGGTGAGAACGCGCTTCCCACTCTGCAGTTACCATCTCGCTCAGGCATAAGGGAATCAATTAACCTGCCTTTTGTGCGCTCCGCACACAGCTTGTACGCCTGTGAGCTACGGGGCTGAGTGCAGACTGGCTGGGAGAGCCTTGAGGAGAGACTGGAGACGGAGGCGTTGGGGAAAGAACGGGAGGAGGAACCGGGGAGTCCCGACTCCCTCCCTGTTCGGTAGTCTCCATTGTGGGCTGGAAAGGCGCGACCCCAAAGAGGCAGAAGCGGGGCGCGCATGAACCAGACTGCCTGCGATTGAAACACAGTCCGCACAGGGGTTGGATCCTCGGCCGAAGGGGTCACAGAACTGCCCAGAGGCCCCTGAGGGGAGACTAGAAACGGAGGCATTGGGGAAAGAACGGGAGGAGGAACCGGGGAGTCCCGACTCCTTCTCCTTGCCGAAGTCTGCATTGCGCGGGAAGAGGCCACACCCCCAAAGAGCCAAAAGCCGAAACGCAAACATAGAAACCCCCAAAACACCCAGAGCAGGCGCGCACACTTGCGCCAAGTGACTGGCGAGGGTTGGCGAGCTTGTGTGTGACCCACGCGGGCTGGCGAACGCTTGCACCTGCCGGCAAGGCCTCACACAGACTGGCACCCATACGGCCTGCGAGGGATTGCACAGAGGGGCAAGGGCAGGCGTAAATTGACCTAACCGCCGCGATTGCGGAGAGGCCCACAAAATAAGTAGAGCTGCCCAGAGTCCCTGGAGGAGAGACCAGAAACAGGATTAACCCGAGAGTCCTAGAGCTGACTTCCTCCCATTTCCGTAGTCCCCATTTGGCGAGGGCAAGCAACGCACCCAAAGAGCCAAAAGCGGGGAAAACACACAATAGAAGACCCTAAACTGACCAGTGCCGCGAAGCTCGCATGCCAGGGAGCCCAGATGAGCACGGGAGGTCGCGAATAAGCCCCCTGGTCTGGGGCAAACACATGCGAGCCCAGGCAGGTGGGGGACCCTGCCACGCTGGGAACGCGCTCAAGGAGCTCTCGTGAGAGCGCAGAGAGATCCCAAAAAATAGCCCAGCCCTGACCGAAGGGGTCACAGAGCTGCTCCAAGCAGGAGTCAGACACAGGCATTAGACTCCTGAAAGGCTCAAACAAACAACCCAAGGCCCTATAGGGTCAACAACTGACATCATCAGAGGCAAGCCCAGAAAGAAAATTAAAGGACAAAAATACTTAACAGACTCTCACAAAAATGGGAAGAAAAAGAAGTTCCCCCCAAATGAGTGGAA